GCGTAAAACTGCTCCTAAGATGATCTACTGTGGCAATATCAACGGAAGACTCTGAAAAATGCCACTCATTATGTCTAAGATCTGGTACAACCCCCATTATTCTCCAAAAATCAGCACCCAAAATAAGAACATGTGGAACATCTAACACTACTAAAACAGGAATAATCTTCACTTGATCTCGAAGGGCAAATGGAACCAAACACTCACCAATACACTCACACATCTGTCCATTCGCAACCCTACAACTAGTTTTCTTCGAAGTATCAACTTCTAAACCTAAAGTCTGCAAAAGTTTCCAACCAGTACTACCTACAATAGTCTTCGACGCACCCGAATCCAAAAGACCTAATAACTCAACACCAAATACGTTTACCTTAAGGTAGGGCCTTTCATCATCCCTAGCATGATCCAAAATATAGTCAAGAATGGGTTGAACTTTAGTCGAACGTTGTACAGCACTACTCTTTCGACCAGTTAAGAGCGCCTGACTTCGTTTCCCTGGTTACACCTTGGACAAGTCCTCACTGTATAACCTTCACGCTGACATTTAAAACATTTCAGCTGCTTGGGAAGAAGACAACCAATTGCTCGATGTCCAGGTTTCTTACACCGATAACATACAACTGACGACTCTTTACCAATCGACATACTATCTACCTCCAAACGATCTACTTGACGTGTGTCAACATCGACGAAAGCCAAATCTCTTTCTAATACATTACCTCTTCGACTGTTAGGCTCAACATAGCTATTTATAGCATCGCGTCTATCCTCCATACGACGACATACTTGTCTCAACTCCTCTACAGTACTAGGAAGTGGATCTCTCAATCTATCTTGATAAAAAGGGTGTAAATTCTTAATAATAATTGACATTTTTGCATTTTCAGGCACAAAACATCCCAACCTACTAAAGTAACTAGACATAACAGCAAGATAAACACCTATAGACTCAGACGAATGTTGTGTCCTTTTCCTGAGTTCATCAAACAAATCATCAGTATGATGTGCAGTTAAATACTCTCGTTTGAACTCATCTTTTAATTCACACCAACTGTGAGCACGAAGCCTGACATCCTTGTAGAATTGATAAGCTTTGTCGGAAAACAAATCAACACCTGAATCTAACAATATTTCTGATGGAACATGGCGAGCGATACGAAGTTCTTCTACTCGTTCGAGAAAAGCTGTAATTGACAAAGACCTAGATGATCCAGAAAACTTTTCTAATCCCCACTTATGTGGCGGTACCATTTTAGAATTTAGGCTATGAGACATATTAGCCTGCGAAATATTAGTTTGTGAAATATTAGCCTGAGAAGAAGCATGTGGGATACTAACAACAGGAGACGAAGTAGCAGCATTTTGCACACCATTCAAAAATTGTCCATCTAGATTACTGGTCACGACACTCAGTGTAGCTGGTACAATAGCATCTTTACTAGGAGGTGGTCGCGATTTCGTCTGAAACTCATCATGCAAACTAATCAACTTGGTCAATATTTCTGTTCTTTTGCCTTCAAGTGTTACATCTCCAGCAGTATCCATTTGATCAAACCTATTCCATGTGTGTGACAACTTACTCTGCAGTTTCTGAGTCTCGCTGACATTACTCCCACTATAACTACTTAACAAAGCGTCTAACTCCACACACTTCCTGGAAAGAGCAGCCTCATCATCAGCAAACTTAAAAGGATAACTAGGGTACTTAAAACTATCACCAGCTTTTTCCATACGCAGAGCCATAGAAAGTTGAGATCGCATTTCTTCTGCGGTGCCAACATTGAGACCTCTAAAGCGAAGTTCCCACTCAAGCTCCTCTTTCTCCAAACGATTAATAAACATTTTACGAGCCATCTTAATATCAAAACTCATAAACTCGATATAAATATAAGTTCCAAAATATACTATAGTGCAAAAATAATAATAAAGTCAAAATTTCAACTATAATACACAATTAGTTGACCTTTTTTTAAATACTCAAAATTCAAATAGTAAAAATCATTTAAAAAGGTGAATCAATGAATCAAATTGGTACACTATTCAGTTCTTACAACAAATGGTAAATGCATATACATATACTCAATTCTATCAGTATGAAAATTATCTAAGACTTATATTCATCAAAAAGCCAAGGTAATTACTCAAAATATAATATTTTAAACACGACGGCCCCACGTTGGGCGCCAAAAATGTAACCTACAAAATGAACTTGGTGATTCCACCAAAATTTTTTAAACAAAAAAAAAAATATTAAAGTATTAACTACAATTAAAAATGTTGTCTACTACGGTTACACAAGTTTCGGTTGTTCCGGTGTCAACCTTCGGGCCTTCGACGTCGCTCAGACGGCAGCTAGGGGGTGGATAGCTTACAAAAATTCCGGAAATAGTAGACAAATAAATAGGCGCCAACTGGGTCTATATAGTGGCCAAACTATGATCCTATTTCCCCAAAAACCCAGTAAATGAGGAAAGAAATAAAAGACAAACCTCAACTTATGTTCCTTTATAAAGAAAAAAAAAAAAAATATTTAGTAAATATACAAACTAATTACCTGATGGCTTAGATAAAAAAAAAAGTTGGAGGAAATTAAAAGGAAAAACTTACACAGTGTATGTATATGCATAACCCAAAAAAATTAATAAATGTATCAAAGTATGGAACGGTTCGTCGTTAGCTTGGTACCAGGCATGACGCTTGCGCAAAACATTAATTTCCACCTTACATAAAAAAAATATAATATAATAGTTAACTTAAATATTGTGCATCACCGTACCTGTACTACTTCATATATTATAAAAACAGTAAACTTATAATCTTTATAATCTTATAAGACCAAACTACCCAAAAGAAAATTATTAAACCATGAAATTTTATAATTAAGTATAATTCATAGAACTAAATAAAAATATCAAAAAAAAATAATAAAAATACAAAGATACACAAAGGACTTCAGACACAGAGGTTATTTACTTAAACTCCCAGATTGGAAGAGGTTACTTAATCTCTGCCCCCACACGGGTCTTCTGAGATTGCTTAACTTATACATTAAGTCTTGTCCATTTAATAATGAATAAATTGAAAAAAAGTAAAATTATGGCAGTAGCCCTTAATAACTGAAGAATTACAACTTAAACGTGGAAGCAGTCCAAGTGTTCTGCGACCCGAAGGATTACTACATCAGCATTAAGTGCTTAAATTAAGTAAAAATTTAAAATATTAATCAATTAAACGATGTAACATTTGATAATACTTAAGTTATGAGTGAAAGAACCCTAGAACATTCTGTGCTCAAAAGTATAAATAATGTTGAGAATACCTTGACAACATTCGGTTGAAAGTGAATGTATAGTTTAACAATGCACACATGAAACTCAATATAACGTATAAGAAAAACCTGATAGTAGGGTGTCTTCTTTCACAGCATTCCCATCTTCCTATCCAGAACGATGAATCATCATTGTAAATCTAGCTGCAAGTAAGCTAGACGGCTAGCATACCAATGTTCTGTGTCCCCTCGATGAGTCCACGATGAAACCGTTGAACTCCGGACGATATAACCCTCTGTGTACAACTGTTGAAATCCTGGGTCAACAATCCCTTGGGTCAAACTGTCGTCGAATCTTGGGCTAACAACCCCCTGGGTTAAACCCTTAAAATATTACAAAGAAAAATGTCAATACACATTGACTCAAGTATCCCGAACTATAGGATTACCCAAAAATGTACATAAACTAGAAAATATTCAGTATCTAGGATAAAGAAAAACTACATTGGCTCAACAGTGAGTCATAAACAGTATTATGAGCTCCAATAATTAAAATTCTGTTACACATGGTTGGTAACATAACCTAATATATACAAAACATACCTTTTTCGTAAAGGGTTAACTTGGTAGCCTTTCAAGGATGAGAACCACGTGAGATGATTCACAGTACAACAATATTCCACACTCCAAATGCTGTGAACTCCCGATTATTGCGTTAAAATCCTATATTAGATATGGGCTGGACCAATGACCATGGGAATTTACCAATTCACTAAAATTCCCCTCAAAATACGAAATGTCCATTTACCCACAATTAACCATGAAATAGAATCTAAAATCCCCTTTAATTAGGGTAAGCCGATGGGGCTAAATATTAAGAAAATTCTATTTCGACACAAAAATCGTCTCTCGTGACTGAATACCCACTGAAAAAAAAAACAATACGTCAGCCGTCCAAAATGGCCGAAATCCCTTTCCGATAAATGTCAAGTGGGTTCAGAAATTCATCCTCAAGAATTCCCCACTATATAACTTAACAGACCATTTACGAAAGGTACCCTAAGAACTATATTTATATACAGTATAACTACATTTGGGAAACTGTTCCCGACAAAAAATTAACACAACAGCGATCGCAAAAAAAAATCCCTCACGACTTAAAATCGCTCATTGTGAAACTACCTTACCTCGGGTTCTGAGCCCGATATTGGAACGTCCCACCAACATGACACTCGTCGGTGTTCTGTCGTCAAATGACGTTTATGTCATTCACTGTCACAATTAATAAACATTAACCTAACCAAAAATAAACAAGAAAATCTTAAAGAATGGTATCGTAAATAATTAATTACCCAAAGGTGAGACTATAATACATAATATATATAAATTTACAACGAAACTTGGTCTATTTTTAGGAGAATCTGGCAAATTAAATCAGTGAACACTACACTGGAAATATGACCAATGTACAAAGTATTATACTACCTTTTACTTAGTGGTGAGATGAAATAAATTGTAATAATGATGTCAAAAAGTTAGAATACAGGTGAAATTAGTTAATGACCAAAATAATAGTGATATCAATCATACGATTTTACCCTTTTTTTTCGTATGATTAACCAGGTAAGCCAAAACAATTTTATTAATTCGTGGGGCCAAAAATGAACGTTACAACTAATGCAGCAAGGAAATATCATGATTCCTATAACTACCCTTTCAATCCTATCTTCTAAAAGAAATGTAGGATTTGGAGTGGTTTCAAATTAGGTAAATCTCCCTCTTCTATTTGATATCCTAGGTATAGTTCCCTTTTATTCTGGAGTGCTACACATTCAGTCAATACGTGAATGGAGGTTTTGTCCTCGCAGAATCTGCACTCACAGTTTACTAAGGTAGCCATCGAGTTAGCAATGCCTGGTAATGATCCCTGTTGCAATGCGTAGCCTGTTATTGATTGGGTATTTTCAAAATTCCTGGTTCTAGGCCCATAGACTTCCAGTTCCATCTATGGTTTTGAAACAATCCGTATACCGCTGAATAGCGTATCTTTTGGTTGCAAGCACGAGAATTCTTAGCTCCATTCTTTTTTGTAACCCAGCTCTGTGGTTTTAAAGTTTTTCACAAAACTGTACTTCTTTTTCTTTGGTTCTGAAGCTAGTAGACTTTCGTTTGATTACTCCGTTCCTGATCATTTTATATCGTGTCCTTTTTGCAACAATCTCTATCATTAACTGTAGAGGGGTGCGCTTTAATATCACGTAAATTGCAGCCGAAAGACAGGTTCTCATTACACCGGTGATGCAAACATAAGCTGGTCTTTGTACTTTTGAGATATTATTAGCTTTCGTTGAAGCTAAACTAGTTCTGGTACTCCAGGTTGTAGCCCCGTAAGGAATTATAGCTATATACATCCACTGCAGTGTGTTTGGGTTACATCTCCATCTGTTACCCGCAATATATCTGTTATATATGTTCTAGAGAAGTTTGTTGTCTTAGGTTAGGCCTAGATATTTGACTTCTTTTTTCCATTCTATATCTATCCCGTCTAACTTAACGGTTTTGAAATTATTTTCTTTTCCTTAAAAAGGCTACTAAAGTAGTTTATACTCCCACCTCACGGCTCCATCTTTTGGTGTGTTCCTGTCCTCTTTAGACTTTATCACACAGGATATTTTTAAACTTGTCTCTAGCAAATTTGGCTATGTCGTCTGCATAGAAGATTTTCTACGGTTAGCCTCCACATTAGTGGGGATAGAACTTCTCATTGTAGATATCATCTGGTTGTTAAAATGGAGCCCCTAGATATGTCTCTGCTGTTCTCGTAGATAGTTGCTGAGCCATCCATCTAGACATGGTGCTATCTACTCCTTTATATGCAATTGTTCCTTTAATAGATTTATCTGGAATGCTGTAAAATGCTATATGCTATATTCATATACAATCTAATATAGTGAAGGTTCGATTTCCTAAAATTACTCTATAATTTATTATGCTTTATCTACCTCGTCTGATGGAACAAGGGACAAACAGCCAGAGCAGAGCTGGCTGAAAACCAGCTATTTCCGTGCTTCATCTTTACTGGGGCAATGTCAATCGTACCGCCGGGACTCACGAAAACCATCCTCAATTTAATCCCTCTCCAAATTTGTATGGAAAGAGAGGATCAATGTAATGAGGAACTGTGACGGGATAAGACGAGCTGATAAGTAAGATTAATAACCACCACATCCTTTCGGAATGATCTTAGATTTGTTTTCTCTGGCTGCACTAAGAAAAGTCACACAGCGTCCTTATTTGAGAAAGAAAAATACGTATGGAGTAGGGGTATAAAATCCTCTTCCAAGCGGATTATGAGAGCACGTGTTTTTGGCCCGAATACAAGAGTTAACATATCAGTAAACCTATACACGATCTTCCAAGTATAAATAATTGTTACAGACTTGGGAGCAGGAAAGCTGATTAATTTTCTACCCGTAAACGAGACTATAAAGATCTTTTCAGATAGTCAGGCAGCCCTCAAGGCCCTGAGATCTAATCTAGTTGACTCAAGGCTGGTTTAGAACTATATAAATTAAATACTCTTGAGTGTATCGGTACCCGGTCTTCAGAACACAGCGCTGTGGAGGGGGAAAAAGCCGACGCGATTTTGAAAGTGAAACTGAATCTGAGTTCAAACGACTAGAACCATTCCTGGACATTGCAAAGAGCACTACCAAAGAAATGATCTTAAAATGAATGGAGGGTGAAATACTCACGAACTGGAGATATACTCATTCGAAGGCGTTTGTACCCAACTCTTTCATGAACGCCTCTGCTCGTATCCAGGAATGGAGTAGGAAAGATCTACCTTGTTCTTACGGTACTGATGACAGGACATAGTCGTCTAAGGGAGCCATATGAGAAAGATAGGTCTGCAACAAACTAGGTTCTAGATCTTTGGATTTGCTCATCTGAAGCCCACCGATATTAAATAAGTCTCACCCAATTGAATCATGGCCTTTATTAAAAGATGTGGCTTATGCAGTGACATATAAGTTCGACATAAGCCACAATAGATCTCAGCCGCTGTGAAAATAAGATTGGCCCTCTTATATTTAACGAAACTCTGCGTTTCATAAAAAAATTCTTCTTCGAGGTATTTTTTTTTGGTCGAATTTTGTCTGATTTTGGATATGTGTTGTTTAGAAATGATTAATAATTTAAAATCGAATAAAAAAAATTATGTTCTAATTTTGTCCACATTTACTTACCAATTGCTCAGAGTACTTAATTATGTTTTTTTATATGACTTTCTAAGCTGAATTACCATTACATAATGACTGCAAATCAACATAATTCACTCATTTCTTACAAAAACATTTTTTCTTATCTGAAAATCCAAAACAATTAATATTTAAAACATCCCTATTACAACTGTTTTTACCCTCTTTTTACCCCTAAATTTCTAATTCACAAATTTATTAGAAAACTACTTCAGGCGTTACAATTTTGCTCTTCAGAAATTTCCATGTCATTATGTTTATTTACGTCATACAGAATTTTTAAAACAACCCTAATCTCAAATTTGTTACCAGAATAGCAAAGTTTTCAAAGTTGTTTTACATTTGCTAAGAAAGTGGCTTTAACAGCAAGTTCTTAGAAAATCATTAGATAACCACTTACAGAGTGTAGCTAATAAATTAATTACACAACTTACATTAAAACTTGCCGATTTTGAAACTTCAAAGGAAAATATTTTCCTTTAGCAGTTTCCTACATTAAATATAAAATAAAGTATATTTAATGTCATTTAAACAGTTTTGTTAATAATAATGATGAATCTTGAATAAACCATTTTAAGCGATAAATATTCTATGTAAAATTTTTATCCTATATTCTATTTCTTTTTTAAAAGCCACTAAAAATTTAATGCAAATAACAACTGATCATGCATGACTATTTAATGTATGCTTTAATATTCCCTAGAAAAAGGTCGAAAACCTGTTAAAAAATATTAAACTTTTTCAAAACGATTGTCCCACTTACCACAAATAACAATAAAATACTTAAAGTTGGTAGCACGTTCTGTAATAAACAATTTTGGTTTTAAGAAGCTTTTCCTTTTATAAAAGAAAAATATTCCTAAAAACAGAGTTGTCATTTTTTAATTTGATATACTGTTATCTGTTTTAGTTACGAAATTATTTGTGGCAACTTTTCCGGGACAACTGGTAAATATCTAAGAGCACATATTCAAATTTAGTTACATCAAAGTAGCAGTAACAATAATTGAGTGCTGTGATGCAGACAACATCGAGGGTGACAACATCAACGTGACCACTGAAAATAATATAATAAAAAAAAAACAACAACAACCATAACAACAAAGGAGAAAATAGGATAATCCTAAAGTGATTCGTTATTTTATTTAAATAAGTCAGGACAACTTTTTATTTTTAATTAATATCCCCGTCTTTTTTTAAGATTATTTTGTTTTAACTAATAATACACTAATTTTATTTAATTTTAAACTTTCATGATACTAAAATTCACCTAAACAAAATAAACTTTAAGGGATCGCCGTGAGGTTTGTCTGCTAGTTTATCTGCTAGCTTCAGCTCCATTATATTTGTTTGCCCATACTAAAATCGTTTATAATAAACTAAGGATCGACTGAAAGCGATATTAATGACTTTCGTTGTACTGAAACTGTGAAAATATAAATACGTTGCTACTTCTCCAAAGTGTAAATAACATTAGATAATCTATTAGACTGAATGCTTTTGTAAATTATATTTCTAAACAGCGAGAACACAATTTGGTTTATAGTGCTGCCTTTATAGAAGCAGATACAGCTTATATTAAATTTAAAGTAAATTGTCGGTATGAACTAAGTAATTAACTATTTGAGTTAATTCGAAACTATGTTTCTGTATATATAGGGTGTCCCATTGGTAATGGATCAAACAAAGTGAGGTAATGAAATAGATTATTTATAATCAGAATATTCACATATATGTTATCCGTTTATCACTGGATATTTTCCATTTTTAAATTGGTTAAATAAAAAGGTAGAGAAGAAAAAGGTAGCATTACAATACATATCTTTGGAGATTCAAAGGACCTTTTTCTTCTCTACTTTTTCATTCAGTCAATACTTTTTTATGTTTGTCATGATTTTGTCATTTAAATTTTAATGGCATGTGACAGTTTTGTACCGATATGGCCTTAGGATTAAAATGTCATTAGTTTTGGGATAGCTTTGAATTAAATTTTGTGTCTGTTTTAAATTGTTTTTAATTGTCCTGAAAAGAGATTTGACAAAGGGACAAATTTAAATTTTTTATAATGCTTAAAAAAAATGAACTAAATAAAAGAAAAAAAAAAGATAATCGAAGTTATTACTTGGAAACAATTTTAAAAGAAAACAGAAGACATAGCAGGAGTCGTAGCAGGAGGGATAGTACTCGAGGAAAATGTGTAAAAGTAAGAGGCGTCCCCACTGGACCATTGGCAGAGAAGACAAGGCAGGAGAACGAGAGGCATAGGAATAAAAAGTCAGGGAATAGAACGTAGGAGGACCAAGTACAAAAAAAAGCGAAGCGGATAATTTTGGATATTTGTTAAAACTTGAATTGTATCATTACTATTATTATTTAGTTATTTTTTTTTCAAAATTTGCACTGATCCATAGATAGAGGGAGGACTCAATAGCCAAGAAATAGTCCTAGCGGCATGTCTTGACATAGAAGGAGCTTATGACAATACCTGCTTTAAATCAATGGTAGCTGCCGCTCGCAAACATGGAATAGAAGACACAATCTGCTGGAGGATAGAAGATATGTTATGCGGACGGCAAGTACAGGCACAAATGTTCAGTGAAACCAGGCAGGTAAATATCATGTAACTGTCGAGTTAATTTTTATGCAGAATTGTAAACAGGTATGCCTGGATTATTTTTAAAATATGCCCAGGAAAGTTATTCACAAGCATTTTGTGTATTAACCCACGGGTTCATACGGTGTCAAAGAACTTTTTACTGTCTAGTGTTACAATTACTGTTTGTAGAATGTTAAATTGTTGTTTCGCGTGATGTGCTATGCGCAATACCTGAGCAACTGTGCTATGACCTTCTCTGAAACCGTATTGTTCCCGTGGGATAATTTGTATACGTTATTTCGTTTTTTTGAGTCTTATTAGTAAAATTGTGTCTATGATTTTTGATATTGTGTTAAGTAAAGAAATGGGTAGGGAAATATCGATTTTATTACCTGGTTTAAGAATTGGGATGATGTTTGCCATTTTCAATCCACTGGGATAGTGTTGTAGCCTCAAAATGGCATTTATTAGGCGGTAGAGCAGTAAAGGGGCAACAAGAGTTCGAACACAAACCTTATGTAAATTAACATGGGAAATCGCTAAGGTCCATTCTGCCAATTTTTGTCTATATCAAGGTCACTAATCTCGACGTCACGTGTCATGACGTCACCAGCCAACTGTTGTCAACCTGACTTAACCTAACCAGAATTGATCCGGAATAGTTCGAAAACAGTACCTACTCAGAGAACTGTTCGAGATCAGTTCCGGATCAGTTCGGGATCAGTTTCGGATCAGTTTCGGATAGTTTCAAATCAGTTCCGGATCACTTTTGGTTAGGTTAGTACAGGTTGGCAACAGTTTGCTGGTGACGTCATGACACGTGACGTCAAAGCGAGTGACCTTGATATGGACAAAAATTGGCAGAATGAACCTTAGGGATTTTCCATGTTAATTTACATTAGGTTTGTGCTCGAACTCTTGTTGCTCCCTTACTTAGAGCTGCCTCACTTTGTTTGATCCCTAACTTATGAGACACGCTGTATACTTTTCCTGAAAATAAATTGACATATTTACTTTGATACTTTTGTATATTTCTTGTTTGTTTCACTATTTTAATCTACTTTAACCCCAATTCTAGTTTTAAAATACGACCATTTCCTTAAATTGAGAATAAACCACACGTTCACGTTGCGAGGTCTGGATAAGTTTGCCAATTTCCAGTTGTTTATGAACATCAAGAAAGTTGTCCTGACAGCCCAAACCACCGGCTGAAATCAATCAACATCACTCACGGACACTAATTGCTAGTGGAACATCGAAAGAAAAACAACTAAAACCCAAAACGAACGAAAACAATGAAAGAAGTTAACACAAAAAAGGTATAGGCCAGTCAATGGTCGCTGTATTCATCCTCAGAAAAATAAATTAAAAAGGTTAACGATTTTTTCTCCCTATTGTTTCTCTATCTTTATGTTGAAAAATATAAACAATTTTACTTTAGAAAAATTTGTTAAATCATTCATTTTCTACAATATTTTTATAAACATATATTACGAAATCTATTATTTATTATCAAAATATAGTATTTGCCTTGATTTTTCTTTCCCCAGTGTTGCAAAGTTCAATCTGAGTAGACCTGTGCAGCATTGCATAAGTTTTTTAAATTAAAACGTTGCAGTTTGTTAGTTAAAGAGTCCAACTAATAATTCTCTAATGAATAACGTATGTCTTAAAAGTTTTGGCACAAATGACCACTTCATAATATCGGGTTGGTTTTGCGACCAACAGTCATTCATTCATTCATTCATTCATTTATTTGTTATTTTAATGACATTAAGTACCTAAATCAATTAAGCTATAATGTCCCACGGTTTCTAAGACTAAAACAGTGATCTCGTTCTGGTTGCTAAGGACGAAGTAAGTCACGAAAATATTATACTTTGGTTCGTACATTAGTTTCATTAGTTTTTTAAGAAATCTAATATTTTATTGTTATTTACTGGTATTTATATTTCTATATATGAATTATGTTCTAGTGTTTTTTTAACTAGTTTTTATAATAGTTTGATTTTTTGAAAGATAAGCTACGAAACAGCAAGGAAAAATCATTCATTTTAAATTTCAAATGAATCACTTTTTATTTGAATTATAAAGAAAAATAATATTGTGTGATTGGTTTATTTAAAACATTTTGGGCTAGGGTACGACCTCCGAGCCGAACTCAAACCACATTTTGTTTATACCCTAAAATATTTTAAAATTTAAGGATGCCTGAAAGGAGGTGTATAGTGTTGCTGCTGGCAAACAATTTATACACACAAAAATAATTAGAATAAAGGGACTGAGCCTGAACTGAAATTAAAGACTAATAATAAGATTTTAGAGTATTCTTTAACTAAGCTGGGCCACTTATTACTTCAAATTTCAATTGTAAAACGACTGTGACAGACGGACAGACAGAGAGACATAAGTGTTTCTCATTGCCAAATTTGGGTACTAATGCGCAAATAACTTGAAAATTCTTTGTTTTTGTCTTACAAATTTTACCGTTTTTTCATGTTTCGTCTTTTTCAAATTTAAATTTGATATTGTTTTATCACGAGAGAAACGAGACGAGACAAGACGAAAGAAAGGCTCTCTCGAGCGAGAGAAGCGCCTTCTCGTCAAGACGAGTGAACTGTTTTCTCTTGCCCTACAAGACGAGATGAGAGAGACCACTCTCTCGTCTCGTCTTGTCTCGCGGCATCATTATAAACGCAATTAATAAAATAGATAAGTAGTAGAATTATAAAAAAAGACTAATTTCTTCATAAGAAAAACACGTTAACCGCCTTTATTGTGGAAATTTTTATTGTTGAAGAATTATATTTGAAATTTCATAATTAGTAATATAATATTTTTTAAATTTCAATAAAATATTTTTCTGAGATTATGTTACCCATTAACTAGCCCAAAAAAAAACAGGAAAAAACAACATAGTAAGGAGAACAGTGAGTTGCGGAGGTGGCCCAGGTTGGGCCCAGGCCGACGTACCACAAAACCACCATTTGGGGGCAGGACAGGACCGGCCCGAGTCGCCAGCGAGATGGCGCTGCGGTCAGTCCCTGTAACAGATAAAACCAGTCAGTCGGTTGTTCTAAAATGTCACCTGCAACACAGATATTATAAGATTATATACATTAGATATTTATTGAATATGCTAGATTAGACACAAATATTTTTAACTGTAATTTATTGTACTGTAAAGAATCATTGTATTTGCAGTATCTATTTAACAATTCAATTGTTCTTAATGTGACGTAACAACATGTTAACGTATATATACTCAGAAAACAATATTGTATAGACTACCTTTATAAGCAAGTAAAAGATTTAGGTAAAAATTCTTGTTTTAGTTGGTAGGTATGTATAAAAATTTATATATATATATATTAGTAAGTACTTCAATACTAAAATTTTCTTCACCTAATAGTATTTACTTATTATGTTCACAATATCAGATAAATATATTTATTGTGTAAATGAAAACATAAAGGAGCAAAAGACATCACAAGCGTAGATCAACTGCACTCTTGACTTATTTAATAAAAATATATATTTTAATATCTATAAAGACTTTTTGTTTAATTTTCATACCATAGCAATTAAAGCAAAAAATCATTCAAACTAATAATTACATAAAGTTCTGATATTATATGGATCTAAAGGTTCCATAACTATTGGTATTAACTTCCTAATTACTGCTAATTACTTAAACATAAGCCTTCTAGTTTAACTATAGGTATTGGAATAGCTACTGCAATTAAAAACACCTATAACTGTAACAATCAAATCGGATGGTGCAATTATGATCAATAAATTTTTATGTGCTATGAAAATTTTTGCTTCCCATTCAAAAATGCATGAAATTTGGTCAACTGTACATGTCTGGTAATACACTAGTGATTTCTAAAAGTATAATATATACTATACCTAATAATTTCTTTATTTATAACTATTAAATCAAACACTATTTCAAATACATTTTTATTTATAACTAGTATATCCAACATTTACTATTTCTATGTATTTAAGTTAACTTTAATAATAAACATTCATTTATAAAAAATATTTCTTAAATGAATTTACATATCATCCATAACTGCATTATGTAAACTAATATTATATTTCGTATACGCGTCCAAATAGATATGACATATGTATTACCATTATCGAGTACAATTTTAAATAGTAAATCACAAAAAATGGACAAAAAACTCTCTCATATTAGCCTCTACGTTACTTGCCTCGACCCTAAGTATGCATTTCATTACATTATTGTGATTTCTCGAGTAAAATTAAAAGCGGGTTAGTGATAGTAGTGACGAAAATGATTGGAACAGAAAAAGTAGGCGTATAATAATTCTAGTGCATAAACCAAAGTGTTCCACAAAAACTTCAAACAATTTCAAGTTGGATAAGTGATACTGATACCGACAGTGTATACAGTCACGGATAAAAATGATAGTTTTAAGAAACAAAACTGTTAAGCCTTATAAAATGATTTGCTAAAATTGTTAAAGCTAGTTTATATTTAACATTATAAAAGGGTAAGTAATATTCTCCCTTTCTACTTTTTAAAGTTATTGATTCACTAAGCTAAAGCATATTAAATATAATTAAAAGAACAAACGACTTACAAGTAAGGAAGTTTCTTTTAAATTAAATAAGTATTCTCGCCTAAATAGATAGGTCCCAAACCTATTTGACAGACACACCCATCATACAAGTTCTATTTTTTTCGTTCTTTTTTTATACTTATTTTCTTTTTATGCAAAATAATGTAATAAAATAACGTAGCGTCTTACAGGTAAGTAGTTTATTCTTTTAATTATTAATATGTTAGAAAACTTGTGACTATAGGGCGGAATATATGCATCAAAATATTAGCAAAATATGCGCATATATATGCATCGTTTTTACCAAAAAGATGCAGCTATTTTGTCCAATTATGCCTAAATATGCAAATGTATATTTGTTAAAAATTATTAAAAAAAAAGTGGGGGGTGGGTAGCTCAGTGGTTAGAGCGTTGGCCTGTGGACGCAGGGGTCCCGGGTTGAATCGCTTAAACTTAAATTTTTCTTTTCCAATGAAGGTATTACATCAGGAAAAAAATTAACCTTTATAAATACAAGTTGCTTAGGCACAAGGGGATTTTTTAACAATTCTTTGCTTTGCACTACACATTGTGAATTGTCTTCTAAATTCAAAATTAATTCCTTAATTGCTTCAAATTTTTCTGCATAGAATATAGCTGCTTTAATCCATGTCCCCCATTGCGTAATTACGGGTTCCGGGGGCAAACATACCCCTTCCATTCTATCCTTATACAACTGCACTCTTAAAGGGGCTTTTAAAAATATTTTTTGTAGAAGAGCATTTGTCCAATGCTGAATTCCTATAGGTCGATCATACGGACTATAAATTTCTCTAAACGCATGAAACTGAGCTTAAATGGATAGAGAATTTTGATGATAAATGCAATACATTTCTGCCCATTGTGTAATTGTGTATCGTCCCATGAGGAATTATTGTCAATGATAAACCAACTGATAAAATCAGTTAACATAATACTCTGTGTACATTTAAAAATGTTATTTTATGAAAATCTGCGAAAATGAACACTTTTCAAAATCATCTGGTATCTAAAAAAATAAAAAAAAACAATGTTACTACAATGGTAGGTAATTGAAGTCTAATAAAACAATAAAACATTTTAATTTTAATAAAGAGTATGGATTCAAACTTCAAAATTATTTAGCTGTTGTTTGAAGAGTTTCTGTGTAATAATAATATTAATTTTCTTCTTTTCATATTTCTAGCAACACTAATAAATATTTTTAATAATGAATATGAATCACATTTTGGGAGGAAACACTTCTTCCTACTCATAATATATATATAAAAACATCAAAATTAAATGATTATTGATTGACACAACATACAAATTATTGATTGACACAACATACAAATTCTTGATTGACAGATGACACATACAGTGCTGTCGCATTACCATTTTCTTGTTTATTAGTTGACGTTTTTTAAAACAATGAAACTATAATTATGGTGTAAGTTTAAACATAAATAATACTTTTAAAAATATTTGATTTTATATTTAAAAGATATTTGTTTAACGGTATTTTAGAAATGTCAAAGTAAGACGGTGCACACAAACGAACGTATATTACTTCTGGTATACCGTCTAACCGGCAACGTTGTGTGGCTAGTTCCTATTAGTCTATTCCCGGCTACGTCATACGTTTTAAAAAATTAATAACGCTGGCAAATTAATAGATAAAAAAAAATTTATGTAGCTTCACTTTGAACTGTTATATTTATTAAAAAAAAATTAAAAATTATTGAACATGCCCCATTCGTACATAGGGTTAATATAATTCAAACAATATATTAAAAATTTAAAATTACATCACATAAATAATGATTAAAGTAATACAAACAAAATATATTGTTTGATTATAATATAGTGCATAGATAAATTATGGAGTACATTCAAAAACGTTCATATAATATCCAACCTGTATAGGTAAACATTATATCAAAATTTGGTTAGCATTTAACAAAATGAAGGTAGTAGTCATATCCTGAAAAATTGTTACGGCACAAATACGGTTGAAATGCATAAATATAGTATGTTTGACAATGTAATTTATAGCGATCTATAATTCTTATTAAAACACCCTTTGAACTTTTGTATAATATTTATAGTATGAATCGACATTGATGCCTAATGAACAGCCAGTCGTAGTACGCTAATAAACTAATGAGTCCTACCAATATGAACAGGACATAGCCCATCATTTAATTAGCCGTACAGACATACATAAACAGAGAAAAGCAAATAGTAACAAAACGTCAGCGTCGAATGACTATAAATAAGTTGTCGTCAATGGTATCGTATTGGTCAGTGTATCCTGGTGGGTCACGTACAAATAAGAGGTGTGGCGCGTTATGGTAATTGTGAGTAATGTACCGGACCGGATATAAATCACCCACTAATTATGGCCCCGAACATGCAGCCGTAGCAATAATATCAATGTTCATTACATTCGGATGCCTGTGTATCCAACACCGGAAAATTTATATATCAATTCGTTGCAGTTTTCGGGTAAAAAGTTGGGAGCCGCCGACGCCCGATTGGTGGTGCGCTAGCAAAAAACATTAATATATTTTCATTTCGCTAATTTAAAGCCATTTTATTTGGTTTATTGTTTATTTAACTCGGTTACCTACTACTCCGAATGAAGTTGTTACGCAATATATGTTCGCATTCATACAAATTTATTGCCGAAAAACAAAAAGAATCATTATAATATTTTGGTAGAATCTGGATTTGAACGTTTATATATATATCAGTTAGGTATATTATTAAAAACAATAAATTGAATTTCGCAGTTTTGAAAAATATAATTTTACCACTCTATTGCCTTTGTACTTCGGAAAGTCCCTACAGTTCATCAAATTTCTAGAGGCTTTCAACGGCTAGACAGAGAAAGCACTACTGAGAGGCATCGGTTGGCGGGGCCGACGGATTTACGCAATTAAAGTACACTCTGCGCATCAAGTATTTCACTATTTTATTCAGACGTAAATGTCAGATGTAAATTTCGCTAAAACATTTCTTTTATTTTCGTTTGTGTTTTTTGCTCATTACAGTTTAATAGAACCTAAGTATGGAGTTTAATAGCAAATTAAGAGGCCGCGTGATTAACAGTCAATCTCGCGAAATAATAGCCAATGTTATAGAGTTTATGAGAAGAGAAGGAAATTTTAATTCACCTTCAATACCATTTAAAAATGTAAATGATCGTGTTGCTGCAGCCACAGGAGTATCTAAAAACACTGTCGTCCGCATTTCTGGAGAGAAAAAAAGAATCGATAACCGTGAGATATCGGAATTTTCATCACCAAGAAAAACCATTAAAAAACCAAAAACAGTTAATGATATAGATGAAGCTGACAAAGGTATTTTAAAAAGAATTATTCTGTTCATGTTAATCTCGGAAAATATTGTTCCAACATTAAAAACAATTCTGACTAAATTTAGAGAAGCTACAGGGTACAAAGGAAGCTATGAAAGTTTAAGAAAAATAATAAAGTCGCTAGGATTTCGTTGGCGGAAAACAAAAACAAACAGAAAAATATTAATGGAAAGGTTTGATATTCAAAAGCTACGTTTAGACTATCTGATTCGTTTAAAAAGTTATCGAGCAGAGGGCCGTCCAATTGTCTACTTAGATGAAACATACATTCATGCCTCCCACACACACACCAGAAAGCTTGGAGTGATAATTCAAATGAGGGATTAAAGAAACCAATTAATAAAGGTGATAGACTAATTATTGTCCATGCAGGAGGTGAAATGGGCTTTATTCCGAATGCCCGGTTAATTTTCAAATCTGGAACTAAAAGTGGAGACTACAACGATGAAATGAATTTTAATAATTTTTCTAAATAGTTGAAAGAAAAGCTGTTTCCGAACCTCCCTCCAAGAAGCGTCATTATTGTTGATAATGCTCCTTACCATAATGTCCAGGAAAATAAAGCACCAACGTCAACTTCTAAAAAAGCTGACATGCAGGATTAGTTAAGGAATCATAATATTGCTTACGAAGAGGATATGCTCAAAACGCAATTATACAGTTTAGTGCTATTGCATAAGTCACTATTTAAGAGGTATGCAATTGAAGAAATGATAAATGAACATGGTTTTAGTTGTTTGCGTTTGCCACCGTATCATCCCAATCTTAATCCGATCGAATTAGTGTGGGCATCATTGAAACAATATGTAGCTAGTAACAACACTACATTTAAGAGGCAAGACGTACAACTGTTGTGTGAAGACTTTTTTGATACGTTTTCTAAAGAGGAGTGGCAATCTCGTTGTAATATTGCTAAAATGTGGGAATCTAAATTTTATGACAGAGAAGTTACTTTGGATGAGGAAACTGATAGATTTATAATTAACTTAAACAGTGACAGTGAGACTGATTTTGAATCTGATATGGAAACTGAAGAAAGTTTTTCGGAAGACCATTAAAATTATATCTGTACCTAAGATCAAAAAAGTATTATCTATTTTTACAACGAAGATGCACAAGAATCAAATTTTATTTTTTTATTATTAGATAGCTATTTTTGTTTCTGAGTTGTGTTCATTTACAGGCTCAATTTTTTTCCGTTTCTCCTTTTTGATTTTATATGGGGTTTCAAGTTGTTTTTGACTTATTTCGACGTAAATCACATCAACACACTTTTTTAATAAAGCAAACAAGTGTTAAGAGGTATATGTACGTGTAAACTACAATTACAAAAAATTGATATGAAACCCATGAAACCACCAACAAAAATGTAAAGCTAGCTTCCGTACTAAAACATGGTGTCATTCGTCGAGATAATTTATCGTTTTGTTTAATAGATCAAGAAATGTAAATATTCCCCTGTTATTTTTTATAAAATTATAAGAGAAATAAATTTTTTTCTAAATAGTATAGTTTATTATTTTGTAGAAAAACAAAATTTCGAAAATTTTAGTAATGTTTCAGAAACAACCGTTATTAATAATAGGTACCATTTTCCTTAATAAGGTAGAAATAAAATATAAACTATTTCCACGATTTACAAAGGCCTACAAAAAAATTATAGGTATTTTCCGCTATCCTATAAAATTTATATTTTCTGACTCAATTTCAAAAGGTTGAAGGAATTCCAAAACACCTTTTATGGCATAATAATTATTTTCAATTCTACATACTATCTTTAGCTGGTTTTAAAAACGTTTTAAGAAAGTCCAATCAGACCAATTTAATTCCTAAACTATTCCACACTTTTAAAATTTAATTACCTAAAAATATTAAAAACTATTTAAAATAACTTGTTTAGCAGACTGTACAATAGCTATCTTAGTCACACGTAGCGCGTTCTCTGTCTGGGCGTCGAACACCTCTAGAAATTTGATGAACTGTACATGAGTAATTTTTTCTACGACTGATATTCAAAATAGTAGTTTATTCAAAAATGAAAAAAATGACACTTTGTATAAGCGAAAAAAAAATTATGACACGAGCCGTCAGGGGAATGATACAACTCAAATGAGTGAGAAATATTATATTACATTATGAGTATGAAAAATAACTTTCACACAAGTTATGTACAATATCTTTCCTATGACCACAAAATAAGTTTATCAGAAAAATGTAAAACCTGTAAAGGTTCAATCATGATGTGGCTGGTATTTAATTTGTTTTTTGTTATGCCTTGAATAATTATTAAAGTGTTTTATACATGGTGTTTTGTTGAAACATTGTAATTTCATTTACAGACACTTTTATACCCAAGTAACATTTTTAG